TCATTGAACGGAATTACCGTGAGACATAATAATAATGTGCTTCATCAGTATGTACCTCATTTAATATTTCCATTTCTTTTTCAAGTTATTAATGTTGTAAGTTATCTCCCCAGTTTTCCTTTTTGAGTAGCAAGGACATTGCTCCTACTGACTGAAGGTACCAGTGCAGCCTACTGCGGGGTGAGCAGACGCGGAAGTGCACACAGAGGGCAAGTGAGGTGACGAGTGCCTCTCTGATGAGGAGGTTACCATACTGCAGATAGCTGCACAGGGTGGGAAGCATTTAGGGATATGAAAACCTGATCGTAGCAGAAACCATAAAATCTAACGATCGGGGAAAGAAAGAACGGGGGAAAAGCACTCAAGGTAAGTGACTCACCTTAGCAGAAGAGGAGGCAGAGGAGATTGCAAAATGGACTGAGCAGTCCCAGGCAATGAGGTGCTGGGAAAAGTATGTACACGAAGAAGCACAGCACATGGGGTTTGTCTGACACTCTGGACCTTGCCTGATGCCTTCTCCAAGGGCAGTGATGGTCACAGGTGAGCATGAGGAGAAAGTCACAAGATGAAGACTTTCCCTCATCACGGCAGGAGCTTAATGAGAGGAGGTGGGATCCCTCACACTTTCCCCAGTGCAAGTTCTTAACTCCAGGAAGGGAACAGACACGTTTCCTCCGGAGGGAGGGAGCACCTGAGCCTCCTGTCTGCCTGTCCCCCTCTCTCCCTGCTGCAGTCTTGACCACTGGTCCTCCTCCACCCTTCCCTCCTGCCCTTCGTCTCTCTGGCTCTCTTCCTCATTCCTTCCTTGTTTCTGTCTCTCTCCTCCACTTTCTCTCTCTCCTTCCCTTTCTCCTTTTCTCTCCCTTCTTCCTTCATTTTTCCCTCTCTTATCCACAGTCTTCTAGACTGACTAGAGGCTTAGGAAGGTCACCTTTTCATAAATAGTTTAGGGATATTTAAACAGATTTTGAGTTGTCCATTTTTTTTAAATCTGGCAATCCTCATTATTTTTTTTATTGAGTTATAGTCAATTTGAGTTGGACATTTTTAAATGGTCCAGAGTATTAGAGCTCAGAGCAGCAGGAGGTGGTCGAAATGGGCCCTGCCCAGGACGAGAAGCACACAGAGGATCACAGTAGAACCTAACTCCTGGCCTCTTGTGTTCCCTTCAGGAAAATATGTGGACTCGGATCCGCGCACAGTCCCTGCTTCTGCTGTTCCTGCTGCTGAAGCCACTGCAGTTCCAATGGATAAATGACCCTCAGTTTCCAGCAGACAAACTTGAAGAATTTGAAGATTATTTAGAATATTTATTTGGCACAGGACCTACCAGACCACCTACCAAAGAAACATTCAAAAGCCGTGTCATTGTTGATCGTGAAAGACCATTATATGATCCAGACTATTGTACTGAAGAAATAAAAATGAAAAATGTTCACAAAAAGTTACTTTGCGTTAAAGAACACTTTTTCCTCCAGACAACTTATGAGGACATGCAACAGATCTGTCTCGATATGTTTGTGCCCTGTAAGAATGGAGTGAAGAGATGTCACAGGAGCAAGCAGCTAGTCAAAGGAGTGCATTGTGTTTTACAAAGTGGGTACAGGATGCCAGAATGTGTGTACGAATCTTCTTACACGGCAGGCAATGTCCTTCTCACTTGTGAATGGCAAAATGATATTGATGATCTTTTTCCTGCTAATGTAAATGATATTGAAAAAATATCTAGCATAAACCTTCTTTCCAAAAGGAATCTATCTTACACCCACCGTTCCAGAAGAGGATTCTCCAAGAGGTTAGCAGGAGAGGCTAGGACCCTATCCTGATTGATCCTTACAGGTCAAAAGTGAGAATGGGAATTTTGGTCCCATTCCTTTTAATCACCCATTTTAGCCTCCCTTTTCCCCCAACATCATGCAAAGGCAAGGTGGCCTAGGTGAACAGACGGTGCTCTGAGGTGTGGTTTCAAGCAACTCACCCAATTTGGCACTTGTGGAATATGTTATGAGGATGAACCCCTGCAGGGAAAGGATGACCAGCACCAAGAGCAAAAGGAAATGGTTGCCTGCCGTGTGCTCCAAAGTTGTATTCCTGTGAACCCCTAGTTCAGTAGAAATAATAAAGTGCATTGACCCAGCAAAGTGTCTCTGCTATGGTTATGTGGGGTTTCTGGGTTTGGGCTTAGCCTTCTCTGTGGCACAATTTGCACCAGAAAGAATTTGGAGCCCCCTGAGAAGTTGTGAGATTCATCTTTCTAGTGCTGTATTTGTGGATATTCCCCTTGTTTTATTCTGTCCATACAACACAATGCTCGTGGGAACACGAAGGTGTAGATTCTAATAGGAGGCATCTCAGGATAAATACCTAAATATTCAGAATAGTAAACTCCCCAAAGTACTTCCCGATTCTCCGATGCTACGTTGCTGGAGGTCCGCATCTGTGCTTTAGCTTAGACATCACTCTTCTCAAATCTGCAAACAATTCCTCACTTTCCGGCATAGTCACCTATATTCACAATTCCTTTTCCTCACTTTCTTGCCAGTGTGGCTTTATCTGAGGATATTCCACTTCCAAAAAAGGCTGGAGAATCAGTATGATCAAAGAAATCAGTGTGTCCACTTTAGGTAATAACCTGTCTCTCTTTGTAAAATTCCTCAATATCTTTTTCCCATTATTCCCTATCACTTACTGAAAATGGGCTAAGGAGGAGTGATGGGGATGGGAGGGAGAGCGCCTATCACTCTGGCACATTTCGTCACCATCCCATCTGGGCATCTCCTCCCAATTCAATCTCCTTGTCTTCAGACTCAGCGCTAAGGTCCAACTGAGCAATTGGTTGATGTCCTTAAGGGCTTAGGGCCAATGGCTGCCAGACCCCATGTCAGTGACTCAGGAAAGGACACTAGAAAATCAAGCCTGGAGACACCACCCTTCACATGGAGACTCATGGCTTTTCATTGTCATGTCTGAGTGAATGAGGACCCCATCAAACTTCTGAGAATCTCCATGACCCTCTCTAGCAGCCAACCTTCTGGACATCAGTTAAAGAAGATCTGTGCTTAGGCTAGACTGCCTCTGTGCTGTAGACCATCTGATCCGGGCCATGTTTGTCTCATCTACCTTGGGGTTACACAACACACAATAAATAGATTTGTGAGACTATGATGTACTACACTAACATAAGAATGCTTTGTTAAGGCATAATTTGACATTTCACTTTTATTGCTGCAGAATTTTGGAAAAGAAAGAAATGATTTCTGTAAGACAAAAAAGTTTTCTGTAACATGAGACTTTGGGGTCTTGAAGGCTGAAAGGTATGTTCAAGGCTTTTGTGTTCATTTTTAAATTTTTCAGCTATCTAGTAAGTGAGAGCAAAAAAACCCGCTATGTTCAGTATTCAGATAACTTATAATGGAAAGAGGAACTGTGATGATGTCAATCATCACCCACACACAAAAAATGAACTTTCTGGTTTACTAGGACAAATTCAGAAAATTTGATTTTTCCAATTAAAGAACAAAGGTGGAAGACACATAAAATAATAGGTAAGTTTTGCTGCCACCTTTGAGAGTTGGGGATTTAATGCATAGATATTGGATGTAGAAAAAAAATTCACTCTTTTCTTGCACCTGAGTTTGAGAAGCAATTTCATATTGAATATATTTTCATATTTCTTTCAAGCTGTAGTTGGTTTTGAAATTTATTTTTGGTGTCTGTTGCCAATAGAGATTATTATGAATATAGACATGATGTCTGAAGCCAGAGCAGCCATCCTGGACCCTGACATATGAAGTCACAAGCTCTGTTTGGTAGAGCAAAAGAATAGAAAAGGCCTGGTATCTTACACCATGGAGAACCATACTGGAGCTGAACTGCAGTTCCCTGCAGACTCCCTGGACTGCAGAAAAAGAAATATGAGAGAGAAATAAACATGTATCTATCTGATTTCAGCCACTGCTATTTGAAGTTTTCATCACTGTCAAACCAATTCTAATTAGTGCATTCAGGAATCGGGAAGGGGGCACAAAATCATGTGAGACATAGGTGGTTACTATTAAATGATCCTGTCAATAACCCCCGACTGACAAGGCCTGAGGAGATTTAGGTTGCCCAAGTCTAGGCCTGGTGTCGTTTTTAAAAATTACCTGTAATAATATCCTTATAACACAGAAGCACAACAGAGACACTGTGATGGGGAAATTCTTCCTTTAGACTGTCCATTCCCAACGCTTGACCTCAAACACTCTGGCACGAAAGAGCAACGAAGGAAAACTCAAACATAAAGATTAGTAGGAATAACTCTTAGGCTGGGAATCACAGTTAGGTTACATTACCAACTTATTTACAAGGGTGGAAGTCCACAGAAATTCTTTACCCTTCATTAGCCTCTGATGATCCTTTTTTTTCTTTTCCCTAATTTTTTTTTGAGGGGTGGAGATAATTAGGTTTATCTGTTTATTTATTATTTTGGTGGAGGTACTGGGGATTGAACCTAGGATCTTGTGTATGCTAGGCATGCACTCTACCACTGAGCTATATCCTCCCCAATCAGATGATTCTTCTAAATTTTGAGACTACTGCAGGAGGAAGTGAGGCTTTTTGGTCAACCTTTCAGCTCTCTAAGCCCCAAGCCATGACACAAACTGAGATTCCCCGTGCTCTGCATCTTCCACATCCATGTCATAACTGATAACCACAGGTTGCAAGACAGTTTTGTGAGATACCTAAAATGTAGTCAGGTATCAACCGACTTTATGAACTGAAGAATAAAATTTCAAGTGACATTTAAAAGCCTAAGGAAGAACTATGGGTTTAATTTTTTTTATATTAACCAACTTAATTCTCACGGTTAAAACCGAAAGAAATTTTGTAATAGGTGTTCTGGAAAAACTGCTTTGAGCGCATCCAAAACCCCACATCAAGCCTTACGCCTTCTGTTCCACAATAACCTGATGCTATTGGCACACCCCCGGGGGCTGCTTAGAGATCAGTGTACAGAAAAACCCTAATGATCCTGAGCCTGGAGCCTGCCCTGGGAAATTCTGTGTCTAGCTGAGGGCCAAGAAAGTCGAATTATGACTCTGGACCTTACCGGAGACCTTGAGAAACCCCTGGGGGCACAGCAGGGCATGATCAAAGGAGAGCATTGACAGGTTAAAAACACAAATGCAGGAGACACAGAACATTCTGATATTGTATTCCACACACTATTGACCTTATTTCGACTCATTACTCAAGATATAGAGAGGTCAACTGTTATTCCTAAGTGGGAACAGGTACTGATAACAATCATGAAGCAATATATCCAGGCTTCAATAGCCTGTAAGTATAAAATAAGGTTACATTTCCATTAAAAAACAAATTTTAAAGATTTCAGCAGCCCGTGTCTCCAAACAGGAATATAATCTTCCTTTAAGATCCTTGGGCAGATTCTGAGGCCCCGGTGGTGCTAACTTTGTGCACTCTCACACTTCAGGTCCTTCCCACTGCTCTCTCTGGAGGGGTCGTGTCCACTGACTGTCCTGTCCGAGGATGTCATAGGCCTGTCTTCACACTGGTGATGCTGCTTCCAACATTGCCCAGCTTCAGGGGAAAGAGCACTTCTTCCTCTTTCTTTTAGGTCTCTCCTTCCCTTATTTGTGATTAGATAGAAATGTCTTTAAATGTTAAAAAAAAAAGACATTAAAAAATACAAACAATAATAAGATATGTAGATGTTAACATCCTTGCATAAGCAAATAATTATCTGATTTGTAGTTGTCACTAAGATGTACATTTATGTTTTGTGTACTTTTCTCTAACTATATTATACTTCAATTTTAATATATTTAATTTTTTCTGTATCAAAGCAGAATTACATTTAAAACCCAATATACATTGACAAATTTTCTTGCCAAAAGCTATAGCAATACATACTCTCACAAAGAGTTTCTCAAATCTTTCTAATGTTTATTATCAAATATATCTCATTCTACTTGATAAAAAATTGTTTGCCTGGTTATTAATGAGGTTAACATCTCAAATGCTTACTGGTAATTTATTCTTTTCTTCTTATATATATATTTTTATTGAAGTATAGTCAGTTTACAATATTGTGTCAATTTCTGGTGAACAGTTATAATTTTGTTTTGATTTCCTATTCATATATTATGCATATATTTCCACTGGGTTATTTATGTTTATCTACTGATTTTGAGAGTACTTTACATACGATGGGCATTAAACCTCCTAGCAAATGCTGCAAATAATTTTTCTATTTGGATATTTCTTTCACAAATTTGCTTGTGACATCTTTCGTCATCCAGAGGTGTTAAAATTTATACATTGAATTATGACTGATAGTTTGCATCTCCATTAAGATTATAAATACATTTTCTGCATTGCTTTTATGTTATGATTTTTAAACATCTTACATTTAAAATATTTAATTCATATGAAATCTTTTTTAGCGTACAATGCAAGGTAGAAATCCAACTCTACTAATTTTCCCATGTGTCTTCACTAGCTTGAAATTCCACTATTTCAGCTCCTGGCATGGTAGAGTAGGTGGTTTTACAGCAGCCTTTTGCTATAATAATTGGAAGAGCTGGAAACAAAAAGAGTTTTTAGATCTCCTTGACAGCACCAGAGAGTATAAAGTGAGTGATGAATTGCAGAGCTAAGTTTTAAAAAAGGAGAGAGCTAAACCTGGCATTTGGGGTCACGAGACTTCCCCCTTCAAGGCAATGCCAATTTCAAAAGTGGCCTACGAGAAGCCAAGAATAGAGTTAATCAGAATCACAGGCATGAGGAAACCAAACTTAAAATTCAAGACCCTGGAATGAAGAGACATCTGGTAAGATCCAAGTCTTTAATCAGAATGCTGAGATATCCTAGGGGTAAGAATGAACCAGATATAGACCTACCCTCACAGAGACTAAATCCAAGCCTTGAAGCCTTAAAAGCCTGATGAATAAGTTCAAGTAAGATTGCTAATGGTCCAAGCCCTACTTCTTACAAGAAGCCAAAGGAAAACCTCATGGAAGGAAATAACATCTTCCAGACCTCAAAGCATCTTCACAATTTTTCAAATGCTATGTTCAATATACCATAAAAACAACCCATATACAAGAGGACAAGGCACGATCGTGAAAGCCAAGAACAAAGAGGCTGGGAAAACAGATGACGCCCACATAACCTAAGAAGCAGAGTTATTGGCCAAGTGTTTTAAAATAATCAATATGTCCAAATACATAAAAACATTCCACACACAAATACAGTGTGAAGTCCAGTTCCAGCACCACAATACGACCTCCGAGATGTCCACTCCTGC